AACGTGGGCGTGGCTGCCTGCGCCCACACTGACGCCTCCGCTGTGGGGCACAGGGCAGGGGGACCCCAGCTCTTAGAGGAAGCTCCGCAGCTGAGCCGTTTACCTCGGCGCCCGCCTGTGCTCCCTCTGCAGCCTGGCCAGCATTTATTATTTTTTGTCTTTTGGTAATAACCCTTCCAACCCGGGTGAGTTGGCGCCTCACTCGGCTGGAGTTACGTTTCCCTGAACCTTACTGCCATCGAGTACACTCTTCTCACACGCTTTGACCATTGGTACGTCTCTGCTGAGAAAGGCCTACTCAGATTATTTGCCCATTTCAAAAATCGGATATTATTTTCATTATGGTGATTGCGTTCTGAATACTGAATCCTTGTCAAACCACCAGTGTGCAGGTATTTCCTCCTGTTCTGCAGGTTATCTCCCAACTGCTGTTTGACTCCTTTATTGTGCAGACGCTTTGAGGTTTGGTACAACCCGATTGCTCAGTTGTTGCACTCATTGCCTTTGCTTTGAGGGTTTTCCAAAAAATCTTTCCCTGTGCCAGCATCCTGAAGCACTAACCCGGTGTTTCCTAATGGTACTTTCATGGTGTTGAGTCTTACATCTATGTCTTTGGTCCTTGGTGAGTTGATTTTGTCTGTGCTGAAACACGGCACCCAGGGTGGGCCTTCCTCATCCCCTCACCCAGAGCTGTGCTAACATGGTCCATAGGTAGACTGGTTAATCGCACACCCTTAACCCGGTGTTATTTACCCTAGGCCCACAGCCTCCAGAGCCCTGTCTACGCCCACACAGGCTTTTGGGACCTCTAGACCCGGCCATAACGGCTGTGTGTAATATCCCTTAATTACCTCTGTATGGAAGTTGTAACACAGCATTTTTAGTCTCCTTATTTATTTGAGATTTGTCTTTCTTACCGTAGCTAAAAGTTTGTCAATTTCATATACCTTTATAAAAACCCAACTCTTTCATCGATCTTTTGCATTTTTTGTCTCAATTTATTGTTTTACACTCTGATCTTTACTACTTCTTTCTACCACTTGTAAGTTGGTTCTGTTCTTGAGTTCCTAGCTGAGTTGCATTATTAGATTGCTTATTGAAATCTTTTTACCTTCTGGTGTGGGTATTTATTGCTTCAAGACTCTGAATGCTTGGTGCTGAAAGGACCTCTCCCAAGACTCAGACATCTTCAGTTCTTTTTTCATTCACTGTGCACTCTGTGCTTCTCTCCTCTTATCTCCTTCTGGGGTTCAGCTAGGATGGATGCTTGTTCACATGGTGGGGTCCCCGTTCATGTGATGGGTCCCACTGGTCCTGTCTGCTTACTTTGATCCTCATTCTTTTTTTTACTTTTTTCCTCTGACTCGGTTGACTCGTAAGACCAGCCACCTCCCGTGCACCGACCTTAGCCACCCACAGGCTTCACTTGATACTCCCCGTCGTCATCCCTGTGTGTGCAGCAGGGACAGCAAGCAGAAAGCAGCCCATTTGGCCACCTTGCTGCTGGCGCCCCAGAGAAGAGGAGGGTCTGAACTGTGCTCACCCACACAGGCACAGTCTCAGAAAAGGCGAAGAACATTTGAAAAGTTAATGCTATGAGATCTGGGCTGTGCAATTTCTTTCAGTTTTTCCATTTTTTTCTTAAAGCAATTGCATGAATTTTATAAGCATATATCAAATTAATAACTGTCTTTAATTTTTAGCTCAATTATTGATCAGTGATCTGTTAGTGCTCTGATGAACACTTATGAAATTATTTGTGAAAACAAAAAGACACTGGAGGCAGGGACGCAGACAGGAACAGGCTGAGACCAGCACAGCAAAAGCTGTGTCACCAAAAACCCAGCAGACCGGATTTCTTCTCTGGCTGAGGAGTCTCGGGACATCCAGGGAAGGCCAAGTTTTCACCGAGGCAGCAAGTGAGCCCACACTGTGCCGCCGTCCCCAGAGACCTGTGTGCCTACCACACGTGAGGCCCCTGGAGCTGAGCCCCTGCTTAGGAGCTAATGGAGGTGGAAGCTTTATGGAGCCAATTTTTTGGTTGCTTAAAGTTAATTGCTTTGTACCTAATCTAAGTCCCCAGGGAGCAGTTCCGATCTCCCCAACAAACTGCATCTTGGATGAGGCTGATGTACAATCCCATTTCAAGCCTCTGGGCCTCCATCAGGAAATGCCTCAGGGAGCGCTGGGTTTCTAGAGGACACTGTGGTTTGAATGCTCTCTGAGGACTCCGCTTTTGGCACAGAAGTAAATTGTTTTCCCGAAGCCAGGTCAGTCACCGTGTCCAGTAAAAGTTATGGCAGTCGCGAGGCTCAAGGTACCTTTGCTGCCCGAGCAACAGATCGCTGTTGCCTGGCAACCTGGAAGAGCTATGATGCTACAAAGGCCATGAATGGAGGGGCCCGGGGGCTGCAGTCACGAGGAAGACACTGATGCCACCTTTTCCTGTCAGCTTGGGTCCCTGCCCCAGGCCTACTGGATTAGAGACTGTGAGTGGAGTCCAGCAGGCGTATTGTCACCAGGCCCAAGGTGACCGGATGTATGCGACCTCTGAGAGTGCTGAGGGCATTTGCTGAAATGGAGTCTCGAGGTCCAGTGGTCACCCCAGCGCAGCTTTGGCCCGGGATGTGGACATAGAGGAAGGCGATGGGGAGGGGCCATGCATAGGGGCTCTAAAAGCTGCTTCAGCGCTGACAAAGGAGTGGAATTCTAAGCCACATCAGGGGCCAGAAGGTGTCTGCAGGATCCTGCGTCGAATCCCAGGACCCCGCAGTGCTCCAGCCCACCAGGTTTGTAGGCTGTCTCTGGCCTAGAGACATGAATTCCTGGAGGGCCCTGACCTCCAAGGTCCCCACTGAGGGCAGTGCCCAGAGGGACAACCCTGTCATCAGCTGAGTCTGCGGGAAGCAGGCACTGACTCAGCCCCCAGGGCGTGAACAGGTGAGCTCCGAGTGGCACACAGTGGGACCAGGAGACCTTTCAGGAAAACATGATGACTGTCTGACAGCATTCCAGATTGTGGACAATGCGGTTTCATCGGTGTGGGCAGAACAGACTGTTAACAGAGCATTTGACGCGTCTCTCAATGGGTCCTATTATAGAAACAGCAGCAGAGAGATGTGACAAAGAGTCACGCCAAGGTTGCTAAATCACTTCAGGGAAGCTGGAGTTCATGAGGATGATAAATATCGCTGTGCAGGCTCATGGCAAATAAATTTCCAAAGACCTTGGTTTCAGCCACCGATTCCAGGGACTGGAGTGGGCCTCCAACATGACCAAGTATAATGGCACACTGATTAAATATTGAAG